AATTACGCGCCAATATTATTTGCGACGACACTGAAATTATTAGCGATGACATTGTTATTTTATTTAACGGTAGGTATTTGTGACGACATGTCGTCGCAAATAGTGTATTATTTGCGACGACAAATGCCGTCGCAAAAGGGCATAATTGTTGTAGTGAATCTACATCTACATATCTAAAAAGCGGAAAGTGTTAGGGCCCGTTTATTTCGTTGATTCGAGTTTTTAATTCGAGTTTAGATATGATTTGATGTGAGAGATTTTTACTGTAGCAAAAAAGTTAGATGTGACTATTTCTGAGAGCTTTTTACTGTAACAAAACTCAAATTGGTAAAATAAACGGAGCCTAAAATGAACGTTTGCCTTCCGCGTGGCATGATCGTTTCGTTCCCGTTTCTGTCTTTTTTTTTTTTGGGTTTTTCTTACTTTCATTTTTAGCCTGTATTAATTTTTTTTTTACATTATTGTCATTTATTGATGTTTGTTATAACTATATCCATACACAAATACTTTTATTATAATCCTTTATATATATATATATATGTTAAATTAGGGATTCAATAATTACATGACTTTTCATGTGTTAAAAGATATGACAGATACATATCTCAACTTTAAAGATCTTAATATTAGGGTTCTAATAACGGTGATTACAACTATATTGCACAAACGAGTATTTAGGTGTATACCAAATCAGCTCTTTTAATTAGTAAAAAATTCGATATAAGCTCTTGATGGATTGTAATGTTAATTTATAAATAAACACTTTATGATATGTCAAATTAATTTTTAATAGAACTTCACCCCGTATAAAAAACTAGTGAATATAAATTAAACGTGTGAATAGTGTTCTTGAACCAATATGCGGTTAACAAGTCTCTCCATGTGACAAATAATCTAACTTCTAGATTTTGACCATATCATAAAACTTACATGTACGAAGATATATATTTGTCCCGTATATATCATGAGCAGATACAGCTTAATCTTTCTCTTTTTCAGTTTTTTTTTTTTTTTTTTTAATGAAGCTCTTTTTCAGAAATTATCTAGGGCTCTTAACGTATAAATACATCACCATTTTTTTTGTCTGAACACACATCCCCATGACCAGGACACCAACTTATGTCTCTTTCACCTTTTTTTTTTTTTTTTTTTTTGCTAGTTATTCTCTAAAAATGTCAATCTCCCCGTTTCCTTGAAAAAGCCTGGATTTTCTATCTTTATCTTCTTTTACTGTCGTTTGAAATTATGTCTAAAAGGTGCCATAAATTAAAATATGTTTCTCATGCTTTACTTTAGTGTGCACTAATCGTGTAAATTGTTTCTCACCCCAAAAAAAGAAAAAAGGGAAATCCTAATCATTTGAAGATTGTATATAAAAGTTATACCAGATTTTCATCCCATCCTTGTCTATTAGTTTTACCAATTCCTCAAAAAACTTAATACGTTAGTTTTATATTCTAACGCTATTCTCATGCGTGAATTAACTTATAAGAAATTATCTCATTTCTTTCTATCAAACACTCACGTTATTGAGAATTAGTAAATTAACATCACGTATGATTTTAGGTGACGTATTACGTTATGCTAAACAATATCACTTCCAATGTCTAGACTTCTTGTTTGTAAAAATAAGAAATAAAATAAAAACTTTCTTTTTTATTATAAATGTTAAAACAAAATATGACCAATGATTCACTCGAAAAAAAAAAAGAGTTGTCAATAGAAGGTGTTGGCTTACAATATAGTTCACACTTAAAATTAACTTTATGGCATTGAATTATTTCTAACTTTAATCTTTTGTATATTGTTTCGGATGATAAAAAAAACCTAACCCTTTGTAATATCAACATCCCACAACAAAAAGTTAATTTTAATCAAATAGTTTTCCCGCTTAGTTTTTGGTAATGTTCTGCTTCATAGTTTTTGGTAATGTTGTCCTATAGTAAAGTCACGAAAATAAATTCTCAACAAAAAAAAAAAAAAAAAAAAAACCAAAAAAAAAAAAAAAAAAAAAAAAAAAAAAAAAAGAAGATGGTGCGCACTGTTCCAGCCTCTTTAAATTACAAAAAAGCTCTTGTCAAGTCAAGGGCATCACACGTGACGCCAAATTAATCTGAGCCCACTTTTTGTATACACCGTGGAAATTTTATTTTACTGCGGGGGGCAGTTTCGGGAATTCGACACTGAAATAGCAGTTGTTTCGCACGTGCGCATGCTTGAATTTGCATCATCATCATCTATGTCCACCATCCATGCGCATACCATAACCATTGATCAAATGCGTGGCCATCCATGCGAGCAAACGACACTATAAAAGGGGCCACGTGGTGCGTTTTGGATCGATGGCCGTTGGTGTTACATGTGCTTGCAGTGTTGACCCATGTTTGTGGCCGAGAAAGGTATGAAATTTTAAAGGTACACGTAAGCCTCATTTATTTTACTAATTTGAGTTTTAAATTTTAATTTTATTATAATTAAAATTTTTTATAAAATGTCACATTTAATTTTTTATATTACAATGAAAATTTTTTATATAAAATTATATTTTAATTTAAATTAAAAATTTAAATTGTGAATTGATTGAGACCGTAGTCTCGCAAAGGGACCCACCAACCTTCCTTTTTCATGATCAATCTACGTTTGAACTCTAATCCTACAGTACGAAACCTCTCTAGTCCCTTGTAGAATGGATCAAGCCGTTCATTCCCTTTTCTAAATTGTGAATTTTCTATGATAGTTGTATGCGATTGATTCAAACAAAAGGAAAAAAAAAATTGCGCACGAAAACTTACGTAAATTCTCTATTGTTACGGCCCCACTTACTTTGCGATTTCAAATTATATGAGTTTAAATCTATAATTTATGTTTTATATAATTATAAATTTTTATTAAATACGAGTAAAAATAGTTTGTGAAAACTTTTGAGTTGAGTTTTAAAAAGTAAAATGGGTTAAAATCTTAAGAATTAAAGGGGATAAAATTGAATTCAACCTTTAATTTTAGGTTCAAATGAATCTTAAACTCAAATTTAAGTTTAAAATGTTATGCAACTAAATAAGGGTTTGAACCCAAAAATTGGTTCAAACACATCTAAATCCTCAAAACAGGCACGTCTACGGTTGGTTGGAGGAGGAGATGAAGAGAGGGAGAGGAGTGGAAGGAGAAGTCTAATCTCTTGTTTAGTTGGGGGAGAAGAAGATGGAGAGGAGAGGTGGATGGATGTGGTCTCTCTCATGGCCCACCAAATTAAGGCATCGTTCACTTCACTGATTCGAGTTTAGAATTCGAGTTGAGATGTGATTTTATGTGAGAGCTTTTTACTGTAGCAAAAAAGATATATGTGATTGTTTGTGAGAGCTTTTTACTGTAGAAAAACTCGAATTCTAAACTTGAATCAGCGAAGTGAACGGGGCCTAAATCTGTACATCAATAGAAAAATGCAAACAATTCATTACCTTTTAAGCTTTTAAAGGTTGTTTAACCCTCTAAACAATTTATTAACAAATAAATTAAATGGATAATTTAGTAATTTAATAAATAATTATTATCTATCTTTTCAACTCTCTATCCATCTTATTAAATAACACGAAAAATTACTATAATTCTCTCCATTATTTTTATTCTCCATTTCTCAAACTCTCTCCATACTTCACACTCTTCATCCTTTCAATCAAACGAAGTGTTAGAATTTAAAACACTTGACCATTCTAGTTTTGGTTAAACCATGTTATTATGAGCTCTCATTGTGCATTGTGTTTAGAATATTTTGTCCTTGTGTATGGAAAAAAAATCTTATTTTAGGGTTTGTTCTTTTTGCATTCAAATTTAATTTAAGTTAACTTCGACAAAAGATCTTGGTATTTTTCTTATTTCATTTTTTTGTTGTCTCAATAAATGTTTTTTTTTTCTATTACCGTACTTGGGCAGCACTTCACGTTGTAACAATTTGAGGATTTTCGTTACCAGACAAGGCATTGAAACTATGATCCAGGTGTTGTTTCATAAGCACCGGCACAAAACTTCTAATCCTCCTAATTATATAGTAGATTAACAAAAGAATACCTCTTTCCATGGACCACTTGGCTAGACCGATTAAGGATACGATTGCATAAATTCTCTGTGATGGTCGAGATTTATTAAGGTCTCGTTCATTTCACCAATTTGAGTTTTCAATTTTAAGTTTCTACAGTAAAAAGCTATAAGAAAATATCACATCTAACTTTTTCTGCTACAATGAAAAACTCTCATAAAATGTCACATTTCAGCTCGAATTAAAAACTCGAATTCGCAAAGTGAACGAGACCTAAGTTGTATAATTTTCCAACCAATATATATTATTAGATTCCTTGCCTCGTGACGGTTCCGATAAATTTTTGACGAAACTCTTCAAATTTAAATATGTTATGGTGTAAAAATGATGTGTAGTAAAATAAGAGAAAGGCACACTTTTAGAACTAGGCATCAAATTCTATAAAATTTGTGCATATATCAAAAATAAAAACTTCTGAACACACCCAGTGTCCTTATAATATTTAACAAGAAAAACTTGTTGTCCTTATAATATTTAACAATAGTGACAGAAATAGAATCAAAATGAATTTTTAATTATTAAAATGTTTTTGCATACTGGAGCACATACACACACAAAACTCTTTTAAAAATCAAAATATATATGATTTTCGTCGTTTGCGTAGATTTTTTATACTAACACGCGCTTCTCATTAACTCTAACTTTATATATTACTTTTAGTACAATATATACGGTCTTCTACTCATATTACTCTTACATGTAATGCACCACTAATAACTCTTCTTTCAAAGTTTTGGTGATGGATGAAACTTTGACCCATCAAAGTAATGTAACATACAATACAAGCCATGTGCATCCCAAATTCCTAATGTAGAAAATCCCCACCCCATCCATGAATGCCCCATTGAATATATCACATACATCATCATCATCATCATCATCATCACATAAAATGGTTGTGGGAAATTCCGGACTACCACGTTTGTACTTTTACAAATTTCAGCCCTCTTTTCTCTCTCTCTCTCTCTCTGTCTCAACAATTAGGCTTTGCTCGTAGCTTACCAATTTTTTTTTTCTTGGGATCTCTCTAATTTTTCTTTCCTGCTCTCGATCTTCACGGCCTTTTGCCTCCTTTCGATCTTCCCTATTTCGAAATTAGGGTTTCCCACTCCAAAAAGCGCCTTCTCCGGTCTTTCTCTCTCTTCCCTCCCTCAAATCTTGAGCTCTCCGCCTCACTCTTCCTCTCCGACGACGACGGCGGCTCTCCCTAGGGTTTGTAGATCTAACCGCCTCTTGCTCCGTCCTCTGCTGAATCGCTCCTTTCCTTCGACATGTTCTGGAAACTCACTGCTCTCTCCGCCTCCTCGCCGGTGAGTACCGATTTTCAGTTCTCGAGCTTCTTTCTTCGGCTTTACTGGTTTTCTAGCTATGTCCGTGATATGCTCTTCAATGGAACAGAAATTTGTAGTTGAATTTTTCTCTGTGTATGTTTTTGTATTCAATTATAGAAATTGGAAATGGCTCTCTCACATTCCTTTAGTACCAATCTGTTAATCCCTAGTTGTTTGTTAGAGTATCAATTTATCGACTTAAGCCATTTTAGTTTCAGCAATTGATTGGATATGGCTTCAGATTCTGGGATTTCGTTTTGTGTTATCATATCTCTGGGGTTCTGTTGATGTGAACGTAGTATAGTAGGGGAAATGCAGTTCTTCTTGATTGCTGGGAATCTAAAAGTAAACATGGAAGATCAGAAAACTTTAGAAAGTAGTTGGTTCTGTTTCTTTGTATTCAAATGCGTTTTCCCTTGGTTGGGTATGCCGTATAAAATGGGCACTTGAATAGTGATCAAGTGCTTAAGCTTACAATTGTTTCTTGCATACGATGCTTCGGCCCCCATTTTTTCCCAAAACCTTTTCTTACTGCTTTTCTGTGTCTACTTATTTGCAGGTCGAGTCGGTTCTTGACAAGGAGAATTTCACTTTGGAGGAGCTTCTAGATGAAGAGGAAATAATCCAAGAATGCAAAGCCTTAAACAGTCGTCTCATTAATTTGTTAGTTCTATCGACTGTTTTACTTAAGAGAGTGTTCTGTTGATATTGTGTTTTTTTTTTTTTTTGGGTGTGTGTGATAGAAGTGCTAGTCGCACTTACAACTTACTGCAGGATACTGTTAGTTTTTAAAAATTTGTCGCACTTACAACTTACTGCAGGATACTGTTACTTTTTAAAAATTTGGTGATTACTAGAAACTTAAATTGCCATGAAATAAATGACAATGATTTGAATGAAAGCAGGTTTTTTTCGTTATTCTTAATTTGTGACGTCATGCTTGCAGTTTACGAGATAGAGCTCAAGTGGAACAATTATTGAGATATATTGTTGAAGAGCCTCCGGAGGATGCTGAAAGCAAACGGGCCTTCAAGTATGCTGTTTGAGTTAAAATGATCTTAATTCCTTATATCTAACTATTTGAATTTATATTCTAATTGTGTTTTGGAAAATTGTTTCTTATTAGGTTCCCATTCATTTCATGTGAGATTTTTACATGTGAAATTGATGTTATTTTGAAGACTTTGGTGGAGGAAGAGGAGGTATAGTTTTGTAGTAGCTTTTGATCACTTGCCAAGTGCGAGTTCGAAAGTTGATATTATTATTTATATGATGCTGATTATGTTTTTCTTGTGGATGCAGCTTATGATTCTGCTTTTCTCCTTCTTGGAACCTAATCGTCCTCATAGTGCATTGCTGGCTGGGTACTTTAGCAAGGTATACCATTATGTGACTTAATAATAATTGTCCTACTTAAGTTTGGCGGTAAACTATTCCTTCTCCTTTTTCCCCCACTTTTATGCTGAACTCGTGCATTAGTGATTGATGCTGTTTCATGTGCCATCTCAGGTGGTTGTATGCCTCATGATACGGAAGACAGTCCCACTTATGAATTATGTTCAAGTAAGTGATACTCCTCTCTTTTACAAGCGCCTTAAATGTATTTTTTGTGCATTATCAGGGCTATTGTTGTCTTATTGACTGATGCTGGCAGTACTATTTTTGACACTTATATGCACTTCTTGAAGTATGTGATAAGTGAGTTCCAGCCCTAATACACTTATATGGACTTCATATTTATCAGCATATTCGTGATATCACCTTGTACTGTGGTGCATCAGAAACTACTCAGCCAATTACCTCATTGTTAAAGTAGCCTAGTTTAAAGAAATAATGCAAACAATGTGGTGATTTGAATAATTTTTATCACTCTGTTCTTGAAGTGATTCCAAAACTGATGTATGCTGTTAATTTTGCAGGCCCACCAGGATGTTTTCCGCCAATTAGTTGATTTGATTGGAATTACTTCTATCATGGAGGTAATAAAAAGTAACTTTTTTCAGTAGCAAGTTCACAATCTATAAATATTGTCTATAAGATGCTAGGTTGGTTTTGATATGAGATGTGCCCATTATGCAGGTTTTAGTTCGACTTGTGGGTGCTGATGACCATGTGTATCCGAATTTTATAGATGTCATGCAATGGTTGGCTGAGAGTAATTTGCTGGAAATGATTGTGGATAAATTGAGCCCTTCAGTAAGCGAACCTCATTTATTGTTTGAGAAATGAAAATGCGGACGCCAGTTTTCATCTAAAAACCTCATTTTTCTCTTCTCAAGTAATAGAGTTTGGCATAGCGGATATAGAAATTGATGAAGTTTAGACTCTTTTTAAGGAGTTAGGATCTGGATAGAAAATACTCTAAATTCTAAAGAAATCTATGAAGTTTTACTATGAAAAACGTGATCTGAATTACAAAGGTAGAGCCTTATTTATTAGTTGATAAATTTTAGCCTCACTAGGAATCCTAATCCTGTAAGACAAACTAAATAATTCTGAACAACATAGAATAAATCCTCATATCCTTACTAGCTCATGAAATACGGATTCTTTAAGGAGCCCTTTTACATTCTGGTGCATGTGGCATGCCAAAATCATCCATGAATGAAGATTGAATTGGGTAGTGTGTTTTGTTTTCTTTAATATCTTATTTTTATATTTTCTAGCTGTAGTGCCTCATAGTTTTTTTTTTTTTTTAATATAAATGATAATACTAGAAATAGTGCTTGGAAATAGGAAATGTGCTTTGGATAATTGAAAGGATTAAATAAATGGGAAGAAAGATCCCTCTTTTAAGCAGGACACGTTTGAATATGCACTTAATTGTCAGTTCTAGCTTGAATTGTTTTCTGACAACTTCCTTTCGCTTTGAATCAGTGCCCTCCTGAAGTTCATGCCAATGCAGCTGAAACACTATGTGCTATAACTCGAAATGCCCCATCATCCCTGGCCACTAGACTTTCTAGCCCAAGGTTTGTGTTGAAAGCTTTTTTGTGCTTCAGACATTTAACATTTTATGAGGGACATAATATAAAATCTTGAAGTGATTTTTGATTTCCTGTAAATGATCTTGTATGCAGTTTTGTAGCAAGGATTTTTGCTCATGCATTGGAAGATTCACATTCGAAGTCTGGCCTTGTGCACTCACTTTCTGTTTGTATATCTTTGTTGGATCCAAAAAGATCCATGGGTTCTTCTCCCCTATTTCATTCATACCGTAGCCAACATATGTACGATAGCTCAATCCCTGTTAATCCAGAGACACTGGGCGCTATGCTTCCTAAACTTGGTGAGTGGGTGCCTATATATTTCTAATATGCCAAAAAAAATTTCATTGCTGTGTGATGATGTTTATTGTACAGCTTTTGCTCCCTTCTCTCCAGGGGGAATTGTAAAGGTCAAAGTACACTTCTGGTTGTTTCAGTTGTTTGTCTCTGTGCTGGAAAGGGGGTGGGGTTATTATCTGCTGTATAATTATACTATAGTTTATTCATTTTCTTGGCATATTGGTTGCTCAGAGATTCTGGTATGTGTACTGAATTTTTTGTAAGGCTTCTTTTCGGAGCTCCTGTTATTATTCAGTTCTAAATGACTGAAGACCCAAAACTAGAAGTTGGATGGTTTGAATTATTGCTGGTGCATGGTTGTTAACAAGTTCTGCAGTTAGTTACCACTTTTCTTGTCATATAATGGATAGTTTTCCCCTTCACCAGTGGAACTCAAAAAGTGATAATTGATAAGTACAAAATTTTGTTCTGCAGGTGACTTGCTAGTGCTTTTGAATGTGTCATCTGATGAGAAGGTATTGCCTACGACGTATGGGGAACTAAGGCCTCCTCTTGGAAAGCATCGGTTAAAGGTCAGTTTATTTTTCCTGGACCTAAAGTGCATAATATCCTGGAGTTCAGAATATTTGCACAAGTGCCATGTTTAATGTTTATGAAAACTTAGTTAAAGCAAACTAAATTTTATTGATACTCTTGGAACTCCAATTGTTAACTCGAATGTTTTGTTTTATTTTATTTTATTGTTGATCAGATTGTTGAATTCATTGCTGTATTGTTGAGATCTTCTAACGAAGCTGCAGAAAAGGAGTTAGTGAACTCAGGAACCATTAAACGAGTCATTGATCTTTTCTTTGAGTAAGTTGTTCCTCTTGTGACTCTGTATGATTGAGATAAAGTTATTGAATTTCTTCCTGCATGAAATTAAGTTTTTGCATATCATGCCCGGAGAAACCTTACTTCCCCAGATGGAAGGCTGTTTTGAGAGACATGTTTTGGTTATGTGGAATGACATGTACTGCTGTTTGTTAACCCATCTCTGTTTATCCGATTCCTGCAGGTACCCATACAATAACGCATTGCATCATCATATAGAGAGTGTGATAATGTCTTGTTTAGAGAGCAAGAATGATGACATTGTTGATCATCTTCTCCGAGACTGTGATTTGGTTGGAAAATTTCTCAAAACAGATAAACATCCCATTCTATCTGGTGACGATAGTAAGGTAGATAAATGCAATTACCAGGTTGATGCTTATATTCTGATGAATATATTCTTTGGTATATGTTCCATTGTAGCACAATAATCTTAGGTTTCATATTGTTTACCCATGACTAGTCCCCTTTTCTTGAGGTGACTCCTAATGAAAAGATGGGGAATGTAAAAATTGTATGGTAGTGTCTCTACTTGGTTGTTATATTCATTCCAGATTTTGATCATTAAAAAGTTTCATTAATCGTGTAGCCAACTGTACCTGCTGCTGGAAAACGGGCACCACGGGCAGGAAATCTTGGACACATTACACGGAATGCTAATAAGCTTGTTCAGCTGAGAAACAGCCAGAGCCGCATTCAAGCATTTTTTCAGGTGGGTATTATCCTGTAAGCTGTAACTTCTCTTGGTTTGAGAAAGTTTCCTAGCAGTTATCTGTTGCCCTTTTAAAACTGTGAAATTTTCAATCTCTTCCTTTCGTCTTATTGTGGTAGTTGTGTTTGATTTATTCTAAGAAACTTTTCTTGTTTTCCTTAGGAAAATAGCGAATGGAACGAGTGGCAGACGACAGTCTTGCAGGAACGTAATGCAGTTGAAAATGTTTATAGATGGGCTTGTGGGTATGTTCTTACTAAGTATTCATAGCTATCATCTATTGCATTCTATTCAGAGTAACATGGTTGTAGTTATGGTCTTTCCCGTGGCCTGACTTGCAGTCTTGGTGTCCGATATTGTAATTTTACTTAAACTTGTACCTAAATGTAAAAGTGATATAGATCTTCAATCTTCAACAAATATGTCGTTTGTAGACAGAAAGCTTCTTATGATTTGTTCTAAAAATATTAGGTTCCTAACATAATTACCCAGGATAAGTGAAAAAAAATTTGTCTTCGCATGATTTTTTTTTTCTTCAATGCACCTATCCATTTCAAATGTGGATTGTTGTTATACTCTATTTCTTAAGGCGTCAGGTATTAAAGATCCAATTACCTTATGTGGTATAGGAGATTTCTGCTTTTTGACTAAGCAAAGTAGCTTCAAACTTTCATAGAAGGTTTAGCTTCTATGTTCCATTCTTGTTGATTATAGTTCACTTTTGTTTTCTATTGTTTTGCAGCCGACCAACTGCGTTGCATGATAGGACAAGGGACAGTGATGACGATGACCTGACTGACAGAGATTATGATGTGGCAGCTCTAGCGAATAATCTAAGTCAGGCGTTTAGATACAAAATATATGGGAATGAGGATGCAGAAGAGGTACTTAGTATTTAGCAGGCTGGTTACATCCATATTCATCAGATTCAGCTTCTCTTCTTTTGGCTTCAATGTATCATTTAATTTTCACGTTTTAGTTACTGGATCAACAATCCTTCATTTTTGTTGCAGGACCATGGAGCTATTGATCGTGATGATGAGGTAATAATTTGTGTTATTTGTACGTTCCTCAAATGCTATAAAAATTTGTTCCATTTAGTCTTTAATTAGTATCGTAACAAAATTTACTACAATTTTGCAAAATACAGGATGTCTACTTTGATGATGAATCTGCCGAAGTTGTTATATCATCTCTTCGACTTGGTGATGACCAAGGGAGGTGAGTTGGCTATTTTGATATGGTACACTAAATAGCTCACTGGTTTTGAACTGTTAACTATAGTAGATGGAGAAACTAAGATTTGCAAGTGATTAGCTTACTGGGCACTTAAAAGATGATTATTTTTACAGCATCTGGTCACTCTAGTTTTCCACTTTTGACATTTTCCTAATAGAGGCTGTCAAGTTGTGTCAATAGGTTTGCAATTTAATTTGCTTTTTGGTCAGAAGACGAAATTGCATGCGTGCATGTGCTTGTTATTGTTGTTGTTGATGATGATGTGTGCGTGTTTTTTTAATATAATTTTGTAATGGTACAAATATGGAAAAGTCAAATGCATGTATTACTAGGTGAAATCATATGGAAGCTTAAATTTTAGCTCTGCTTTCATGTACTTCTTAAGCTTGTTTTCAAGAAAGGTTGTATGTTAATGGGATGCTTAATTGTTTTCAATCTAAATGCAGCAGTCTATTCACCAATTCCAACTGGTTTGCATTCCAAGATGACAGAATTGGTAATGCGCCTGTTGGAACATCACCCTCAGAGATGATGGAAGACATCAACTTGAATGGAACTGCAAATGGTGGCAATAGCAGCAGTGATGATGAGGTTGTTGTTGGGGAGGATGATGAGCTCGCTGGAAACAAGGATTCTATTAATGGAACATCTAGTTCCACCCCGAATGGATTCAATGGCAGCAGCTCAATGAGCAGTGGAAGCTTGAACCCAGATGGTGCGAAGGCAAGTGCGTCCAATTCCGGTGACATGGGATTCTTTAAATTTGTTACGCCAGACAACGAGGACTTGTTTGGAGATAGGCCTTTACCTGAGTGGGTTGGATGGGGTGACTCGTCAGATTTGCAAGTTGGTGGTTCGAGTGTTAATCCGTTTGTTGATTGTGATAACTCCGATGCTGAAATGTCGAGTCATAATGAGCCGGTGACACCTGGCGTAAGTTCCCCGTCAGGTGCTGAATCTGTTCTACTAAATGGCTCTCCAACCACTACAAGCTCTTCTGAAGGATCGGCGGGAAGTGGTTCTGGCCAGAGATCTGTTGCTGTGCCCTCATTGTTTGAGGAGGATGTTGAATTTGTAGGCGTGGAATTAGAAGGTACCGAAAAGGCTATGGAGCAAGCTCTTAAAGAGGGGATAGTTGGGGAGGCAGGGCCATTGAAGAGAAATGCTATCCAAAAGGTACAAGAGAAGGAGAATTCTGATGAAGGTGCACCTGGAATGAAGGAGTTCAATGATGCAAATTATTGGAGGGTTGATCAAGAGGTGGCAGTTCTTGAGTGATGATGGGTGGATCCTGCTTAGGCTGTTTGAACCCAAAAGTCGGGTCCAACGGCCTTGGGCCCCATTTTTTGGTTGCTAATGGCTTATGCAGCAGAGATAATGTACAGTATATGGGATGGTAGGTTGTGCTATGGTTATTTCTGTTTATTATTGTAATCCATTGTCAATTATTTAATGTTTTGTTTCTTCCTGCAACTGTTTTTTGGGGTTTCCCAGATCCTTCATCTTTATATTTTGTTCCTTCATTTCTTTCCCTGGTCAGAAGTCTCCTAATGTGGGTTTTATCATCATTTTTGAATCTGGACTCAGAAAGTATGATATTAGTTTTGGGTTCATCATTTTTAACGTAATTTTGCTTCGTTTTTGAAGGATGGTCCTGTAATTCACTCTTTGTTTTAGTTTTGCATTCGAGGTATGAATCACCGTTGGCTTATAGAACTCGTGTTAGATGGAAACTGTGTATTCTTCGTTCCAAGTAGAAGAATTATGTGCGACTGTGTATTCTTCACTTTGAACCGCTGAGTTTAGTTTTTTGTGTGTTTGCAACACAGTTTTTCTTGACTTGCGTTGGACTTGAGATAGCGTTAAAGCTGAAGACATCAACTTTCTTTCCATCCTGCTTGACAGTGAAAGGTATTATTGCGTAGTTGGGAGTACAAATTACAAGGCGTCCTTGTATACGTGAAACAGGATTGATTGTTAACTTGGGGAATGTGAAATTTGTTGAATATGGGTTATTCCGGTGATAAAATAGGAAATCTCCCTTCGTTGTTTTTCTGAAAAAAACGAATTGTGATGCCTGTATATACAGAATTCCATTAGGTGGACTGACCTGGATTTAGATGTTCGGAAGACTCGGTAGGCCATAATAATCATCACACTTCTGTTAATAACCTTTTTTTATTTTATTTTATTTTTTTTATTCGAAGAATTCTAGTTGAAGATCGTTGGTTCATTAAAGTCGTTCTTGCAACATTAAACCGGCGTTTCTTCTTTGTTATTGTAAGCACTCTTTACGGTATAATTATGTGGGTAATCTTGGTAAATACCTCTTGAAAGTGCATGAGTTAGGATTTTTATTATTTACTCTTGATTCATAATTTTTTTAATCAAGCAATTACAGTAATAAAATGGTATTTATCAAGAATAATGAGTAAAAGTTTAGACTCGTGCATTTTTAAGGGTAAATTTTGCATTTTTTCTAACCAAATCGATGTGATCACCTGTGGAAGTGGCTAATTAACTGTATTGGCGGCCTTAGTTTGTTCGGGGCATGCAAGACTAAGAGGACGTTTGGTTGGAGGATTCAAATTATGTGATTTGAACCATTTTTTATTTACGTGAATTTTTTGTGAGAAAATACTGTAACGAATCATGAATCATGATTCGAATCAGGGAACGAATCCCCTTACCAAACATCTTCCAAGTGTTTGGTTGGAGGGAGAGGTGCGGGGAGAGGGCAAAGCCAATATTTGTTTGGACTTGGAAGGTGAGAGGTGGGCGAAGAAAGATAGAGGGAGATCTTCTCCCAATAAGTCCATTAATTTGGATCATTCCATTATTAGATTCAAGTTAAAATGATAATTTTAACTTTAAAAAAATTATTAATAAATAATAAAATAGACAAATATAAGTAATTAGATAAATCATAACCATCTAATTTTAATTTTAAAAAAATTATTAATAAATAATAAAATAGACAAATATAAGTAATTAGATAAATCATAACCATCTAATTTTAATTTTAAAAAAATTATTAATAAATAATAAAATAGACAAATATAAGTAATTAGATAAATCATAACCATTCTATCCTTTCATCCTCTCTCAACAAACAACAAACATAAAAGAAAAAAACATTATTAATAAATAATAAAATAGACAAATATAAGTAATTAGATAAATCATAACCATCTATCATTTTCATCCTCTCTCAACAAACAACAAACATAAAAGAAAAAAATAATTATTAATAAATAATAAAGTAGACAAATATAAGTAATTAGATAAATCATAACCATCTATCCTTTCATCCTCTCTCAACAAACAACAAACATAAAAGAAAAAAATTATTAATAAATAATAAAATAGACAAATATAAGTAATTAGATAAAGGAAAATAGTAGAAAATAGGCCAGTGTGAAAAGCTTAAGAAAGTATATAGGCTAATTTTTAGTTATTGAAATTAATAGACCATAACTTGTCAAGTTATGGTTCATAACCAGATAAGTTATGGACAAACTTGTCAAGTTATGGTTCATAGCCAGATAAGTTATGGACAATTATGGACAATAACTTGTCAAGTTATGGTTCATAATCAGACAAGTTATGGACGAAAACAATAATTTAACATATTTATTAACTTATGTAAACTATTGGCCTATTAATTTTAATTCATCTCAAGTTTTGGCATATTTTCCTCTTTTTTCCTTAGATAAATCATAACCATCTATCCTTTCATCCTCTCTCAACAAACAACAAACATAAAAGAAAAAAAAAATTATTAATAAATAATAAAGTAGACAAATATAAGTAATTAGATAAATCATAACCATCTATCCTTTCCTCCTCTCTCAACAAACAACAAACATAAAAGGAAAAAAATATTAATAAATAATAAAATAGACAAATATAAGTAATTAGATAAATCATAACCATCTATCCTTTCATCTTCTCTCAACAAACAACAAACATAAAAGAAAAAAATTATTAATAAATAATAAAATAAACAAATATAAGTAATTAGATAAATTATAACCGTCTATCCTTTCATTCTCTCTCAATAAACAACAAACATAAAAAATTATTATAATTCTCTTAATTATACATATTTCTTTATCTTTTGACTTTCTCCATCCTTTCTACTCTACCCCTTCCTCAAAACGAAACCCAAATATAAACCTAAAAAGTGAATTTTTATTGCGATTGCGGTTAGTCGGGGACCAAGTATAATTGTGACATCATGTTTCCTTTACTAGTCAGCTTAATGACAGCAGGCGTCAAATTATTGGTGGGATTTTATTGCTCAATGATGTGGAGCGACAAGATTTTGGAATAAAGTTATTCAATATGTCACAAGAAAGACAAAATACTGAATGGCGGCACGTGGTTGCAGACTTGCAGTTGTATAGTATATAATTGCTTATGAGCATAGCGGTTAACGATATTGTTAATAGTACGTTTAATTGGCGTTTTTCTTGCAGTTGTCCACAAATATCAAATGCGAATGATTAACTCATCTAATTATATCAGTATGAAAAGAAGTTTAATTACATCTCAAATTTCCATAATAATTTATACAAGTATGAAAATTCAACATGTACTCCAAGTGAAATGCCATCTGAATGTGACTTGCGGATATTAGTTAGTTTATGTCAGATAGGATTACCAGAAACGAAAACTCAACATAGTAGTAGGCGTCAATAAAAGATGGTGTTCATTCAGACACACTTTAACACCAAAGAAAAAAAAAAAAAAAAAGACAACCTAAGACTACATAATGCAATAAAAAGATGGAGTTCAATATCCCATATCTCGTTGCAAAATCCAAAGATCCTAAAAACGATCATTCACAAATCTTAAAAGCTAAACACTAGTGCCAAACTAGATAACCTGACTACGTAATTCAAACTAGCTATCTGCCATTGGATGCAGCAAGGCCATTTTCAGCACTTCGCATCTATCTCCGTAATCCGTGTCCTGCAAAAAGCAGAACCATCAAAATTTCAAAGTTAAATTTACTTGCTAAGTGAGAAATCCGTTGTAAGTTAAATTGAAGGATACGGCAACTAGAAGATTGAAGGTGCAAGTCCCCTTGCCTTCCTATGTTGCTGCTGCCCGATCGGAGGCTAAAATTGTAAGCCTCTTTGCTTTTTTCATAAAATCACTGCAATTCAAGCAAGGTGAAGAAAGTAAAAATCTGAGAAATATGAAGTTAACGAAGCCACATGCATCTCAAGTGCTAGCAAAATATCATGCAGATTCCACATTACAACGGAGGATAAAAAACAATGGATGAAAAAAGTGAAATGCAGAGCAATGCCTGAATGGTTCGTCCCCAGTTCGTTTAGGAGCTCCAGTTGCATCATAGTAAAGAACACGGATCAGCATCTCAGATCTTTCTATTCCAGACAGGTCGGCCAGACTCCTGTACAGCTCCTCGTAAGATCCAAGAACCGAAAGGTCAAGAGTCCACCCTGCATCCTCGGATTCCATGAATACCTTACAGCGACCTGTATCCAGGCCAAATTCAGTGCCCTGGAGGGTGGGTCCTGAGCCATTAGGAATATACTTTTCTCTGTCTGTGTTCCCATCTACTGGACTTTTGCCAAAATCGTGTGAGACTGCGTCGCCAGAAGAGCTAGGGGAGCCTTGCTGCTCAGTGACTATCGGGTGACCAAAGAGGATAAAGTGGTGTGTCTTCACACCATCAGACTTCTCCAAGCTCGGACTAGAGTTCCCTACCGTGAGCAAGCTAGATAAGCTTTCATTGTCATGTGTCTGGCCTGCGATGACGCTATTAGGACTAGTAGAAAGTTGATTTGACAGCTGCACGTTGGGAGGAAAAATCCTTAACTGCAGCGGGTCATTAACTTGGAGATCCAATAAAGGTACTCCAAATAGAACATGCCTGGCTCCCTGTATGCCAACAGGGGTGTTATCAGGTGGATAACACAAAGGGTTGCTGGGACCAAGTGTATTGCCTAAACTTGACAGCGCAGGATATTGGCTGTCAAGAGTAAAGTCTGACTGCTGTGCTAGCCGCAACTTCTTTCCCGGTGGGGAATAGGATGAGAAGTTGACCATGGGCGCGTTTGATATCAGTTCGATCAACCATGGATTGACACGTTGCACATTTTGTTTCAAATCTGGCTCATCCCATGACACCTGCAACATAGAGGATTGTAAACAGAATCTGATGTGAAATAACATTGTAAATACTTTTGAAAAATGAACAGTTTTGCTCTCAGAATGAGATTCTAATTCATAGTAAACTTTATACCCACTACCACAAGCAAAACAGCCGATCAAGTATTGCCTGCAGAATAAGTTCTCAATCAAATAAAGCCAATTCCAGCATCAATATTTTCAAGAAAGCCTACAGAAAGAAAACAAAGCCCGGCCATATATCCACTATAACAGCGGCAGATGTTGGTGTTTCAGACCAATGGAAAAGATCATATCCAACAAGGAAAAGGGGTGGTAGAGGATATAAATCCGGAGGACATCTCATTCTCCCTATCTCTTGTACTTTCTTTTGGTATATAATCTAACATATCTATCAGTTCCTTGAAAGGAAAAGGACCATAAACGGAAGTATGGTTTATTAATGAAAGTTCAACGGGTGTTCCTTTCAAGAATTTATTCAAAGCGCTAAACATAAATAAAAATTGCAAGTGAAATTCTCTTTCCTTCTAGATTTCATCAAGAACGTTTGTTCAAAAGAGTCAAAATTCAACAATTTACACAAAGTAATACACAAAGGCAAAACTAATACAACCAAGAAAAGAAAAGAAAAGAAATTCAAATTCCATACGAGAGATGAGAACGAACATCTGGCTATTCAAATACCAATAACAAGTCTCCGACAAAATACAAAACTCAGCAATAAATTGCAGAAGAATTACAGAGAAGAGAAAACGGTACCTGAAGAAACCGCCATGGGGAATTAGGCCAGTGAATTGGGTCAGCAGGCGAAACTGAGGCTATGGTTCCCAATGACCAGCTAATCCTTGAAGAATAATCGTCTTCAGATGGCATCTTGAATCGCATCCCAATGCTCCACGAAATCCCCAAGGCCGCTCTCACGGCCGAGGCCCTGACGCAGAACTCGGCGGCGCCGTCACGCGGGTAGTAAACGACGTCAAATGGCTTCCCATTGGCCGCCAGAGTCACGGCTTCGAGAACGTCTTGAGGCGAAACGACACCCTTTGCGGATCCATTATTGTTGTTATTGCTGTTACAGTAGGTCCTTCTGCCTCGCTTAATCCCGACAGAGATATTCCCATCCTTATCCCTGACGAAGACGACGGAATCGCCGGCGACGAGCTTCCTCTTGTTGACGAAGACGCTCCAGCCGGTTGTCAACAGATGCCGGCGCGGTGACCCTCGGTAAATGTGTTTGAATTCCCAAACCTCGCCATGGACGTCCCTCACGGACAATTGCTGGCACGGCGAATCCGTCAAGTAGTCCAGCTTCGGGAAGACGGTCTCCGCCAGGTACTTCGGGACCGAAAACCCTCCGCCATTGTTGGAGTCCGACTGGGTGAGGACCTTCCCGACGAAGCACGAACCCTCGGCCGCCGCCGGAATTCCGTTATCGTCGTCGCCGTCGGGGAGGCCGTCTTCTTGGCCGAGCGGGACGAGGCTAATCTTGGCGAAAACCTCTTCGGTCTCGAGGTCGACCATCAATTCGACGGCGGAGACTCGGCAGAGGAGGAGCGGCGGGACTCCGAGAGAGGCGGCGAAATCGGCGGTGGCGAAGGCGTGCTCGGCGTGACCCTGGGGACAGTAGAACACCTTCGAGTTCACCCTCGGGACTTGGGCCATCCGACCCGCCAACGCCTGCCATACCAGCGCATCCAAGATTTTCGTCTTCATCGCTTCTCTCTCTCTCTCTCTCTCGGACAGATATAGAGAGAGAAAGAGATTTTCTCACTGAAAAAGAAAAGGGTACGAAGAAACAATGCGACGATATAACAGTCTCTCTTTCTTTCTCTCTCTACACTCTCTTCCTAGTTTCTCTTTCTCTTTCTCTTTCTCTCTCTCTCTCTCTCTCTATTAAAATCAGAAATTAGTGCTAATATATAGTAGTTAGTTTAGTACAACCCTAAAAAAATCCACCGTTAATGATCACGATTAATTTTTTTCTTTTCTTTTCTTCTACCAGATAATTCCTTCGAGAAGGTGTGGTTTTAAATAAGGGATTTATTAAAAATCAAATTTTAAACGTCCGATTATGTGATCTCAAGGGGGATTCAGTTGAGATATTCGAGGAAACTGTTGCAGAAAAGACACTAAACTGTATAGACACAAGTCCCCTGCCAATATTACATGCTTTGAAATTAAAATATATTTAAAAAAAAAAAAGAAGAAGAAGATCGGTGATGATAAGGATTAAAAATATTTAATTAATATTAGTGATCTGCCGTTCGCTTTGCATATTTAAATTTTAAATTTGAGTTAAAATGTGATATTTTTTAGAATTTTTAATTATAATAAAAAAAATTAAATATGATATTTTTTAAAAAAATTTAATTATAAAAATTTATAATTAAAAACTTAAATTTGTAAAATAAACGAGATTTAAAAAACTTGTAATTGGACCTTTTTTTTTTTCTTTGTCAACTCTTTTTGGTTTATTAATTATTATTTTGTTTTGAACGAATGGTTTTTTCCTTTTTTGGTAATTAATGGGATGTGATAATGTCCACATGACACATCTCTTCTTCCCATCTTCACAAAATTCCAGGTGTTGCACAATTATATTATCTCTTTAAATAGAATCTTGTTGTCTTTTTTATGCATTAATTAAAATTATGAAATGAAGAACTCTGTCGTGTTGCAATTTTTATGTTCGGAGCATTAAAGACGCTGCAATAAATTACGACATGAGATTCCAGTCAAGACACAAAAACATGCAAATTATGCAGACAATAGCTCATTATGTAGTTATTTTAGCACTTTCATGGAAATAGAAAGACTAATTTCCTATACCAAACTCAGAATTAAAATGTTCAAAACTCACTCAATAAATGCATTTGCTTGCTTAAAATGTTCACTACAAAATTATTTGCTGATGAAGTTGAATATGATGATTTTTTTTTTCTTCCAGGCATGGTTTTAAGCAAGTGATTATTAAGTTTTTCTTCCGTTTACTTATTTTTTTTTCTTTTCTATTTTGCTACCTAGAATACATTATTAACCCCACTTTTTGACCAATTAAACACTTGCATGTCAATTTTGGTTGTAATTATATTATGTGATTATTATTTGATTAGTTGAAACACTAGTAATGTTTGTACCCAAAATGAAAAAGAAAAAAAAAATTGAGAGAGGGAGATTGAAGTTATAATTTTCAATTTGTCAACCGCTCTCTCTTTACAATTATATATATATATATATATATATATATATATATTTGGTCTTTTCAACCGCTAGTTTCACATAATACCTCTTAATTAGTTTTCTATATGAATTTTTCTTCCACACACGTAATTAACCAAAATACATATATGGTTCACACGTGCATTGTCAATCTACTTAATGTTTTTGTTTATTTATTAATCTTATACTTTCAAATGAAACTTATCTAACTTTTTTTTTTCTAAAACTACTTTTAGTAAAATTAGGCCCTATTCATTTCGCTAATTCGAGTTTAAAATTTGAGTTTTGCTACAGTAAAAAGTTTTCACAAACAGTCACATCTAACTTTTTTATTACAGTAAAAAACTCTCACATAAAATCACATCTAAATTCGAATTAAAAACTCGAATCAACGAACTAAACGGGCCATATATATATCTTTTTTCAAATGTGCAACTATCTAATATTTTTTCTTGACAAAAACCTTGTCGGTGGCAAAATTAGTGGTGGTGAAGGAGTGCGCGGTGTGATCATAGGGGAAGTGGAACACCTTCGAGATGACTCGGGCCATCCGACCTGCGCATGCATGCCATTTGCAACGAATCCAATGTCATCGTATTCATGGCTTCCCTTGTTTCTCTCTCCCTCTTTAATCTCAAACAGATATAAAAAGGCAAAGTGAAATACTCACTGAACAAATTACGAAGAAACAGAAACAATACAACGAAAAATAATTAGTATATTAATAATTTATTAGTAATATATTTACTAATTAAATAATTAAATTTTAATTAGATAATTAAATAATTAGTAAATTAATTACAACTTTTTATTTATTATCATATTATTTTGATATATTACATGATCAATTTTTGGTAATTATTATTTAAATAATAAATAATTAAATTATTGATTAGTATATCACGTAATTAATAATTATATTTTAATATTAATTATTCATTGAGTAATTAATATTTATTTATAATTTAATATTAATTATTCATTGAGTAATTAATATTTCTTTATAATTTAATATATTTACTAATTAAATAATTAACTTTTAATTAGATAATTAAATAATTAGTAAATTATAATTACAAATTTTTATTTGTTATCATATTATTTTGATATATTACATAATCATTTTTTTGTAATTATTCTTTAAATAATAATTAATAATTAAATTACTGATTAGTATTTCACGTAATTAATAATTATAATTTAATATTAATTATTCATTGAGTAATTAATATTTATTTATAATTTATCAATTGTTGAAAAATTAATAAATTAGTATCAATATATTATATGAATGATTTTTTAATTGTTAATTAATTATATAATAACTTATTGTTAATTATTCCATTTTAATATATTATATTTAATTTGTAGTAATTAAAGATTGGGCATGGATTTGATGGTAAAGATTGGGCAAATGACGAGCAGCAGGACTCTGTGAGAGGCGGAGAAATCAGCAGTGGTGAAGGCGTGCTTGGTGTGACCGTAGGGGAAGTAGAACACCTTCAAGATGACTCGGCCCATCCAACTTGCAAATGCCTGCCATTGCAGCGGATCCAAGGTTCTCGTCTTCGTGGCTTCCCTCATTACTCTCTCCCTCTTCAATCTCGGACAGATATGAAAAGACAAAGTGAATTTCTCAATGAAAAAAAGGAATAACAAAAACAATATGACAATATGACCGTGTTTAGAATTGATCCTGTTTTTATTTTTTACGTTTTTTAAGACAAAAAATGAAAATGTTTTTAAAACGGTGTTTAGTACAATAAAAACAAAAAACAGAAATGAAAATGATTTTTTAGTTTAGTGTAAAATGAGAGAGAAATGAAAAATGACTTTTAGTCATTTTTTTATTTTTTGTTTTCGCTTTCTCCTCTCTTGAGCAAAAAGAGAGTGAGAGATTAATGAGTTTTTTTATACTAAAAATAATCTCTTAATAAAACGACTAAACTCATTTTTAAAAATAATTTCTGTCTAAACTTGAAAATGTTTTCATTTTTATATAAAAAAAATAAAATCATTTTAGAACGAGGTAACACGCCCAATAATTTCTCTTTCTCTAGGGTCTACTTTCTCGTCCCTATTAAAATAATAAGTTAGTGCTAATTTAGTTAGTTTAGTACAACCCTAAACATTCTCTAAATCTTATGAGAGCAATACTTGTAAAGGCCGGCCTCGTTCACTTCGCTGATTCGAGTTTAGAATTCGAGTTTTTCTACAGTAAAAAGCTCTCACAAACAATCACATCTAACTTTTTTGCTACAGTAAAAAGCTCTCACATAAAGTCATATCTCAACTCGAATTCTAAACTCGAATCAGTGAAATGAACGGGACCAAAGTAACCCCAGTCCCATATTATGAGAAAAAACAGGAGATGTCCATACATGTGAATATATTATTTTAAGAGGTTTAGTCCACGATATTGTAAAGGTAGAAATTGTAGTTTGTGACTCTTCTCGCAAAAACAAGCATTGCATGTAAATCTGTTGACTATGACAAGTTTAGCTGATTACGAGACAAATGGATAGAAACTGTCAATTTGTCATTAAGGCATCGTTCATTTTATCGATTTGAGTTTTCAATTTTAGTTTCTACAGTAAAAAGCTCTCATAAAATACCACATCTAACTTTTTTCTGCTACAGTGAAAAGTTCTCATAAAATATCACGTCTTAACTTGAATTAAAAAGTCGAATCTGCGAAGTAAATGAGGCCTAAGAATGTTTGACATACCCTTCTTTCAATTACTCTTTGCTTTCTTTATTCAGAATCCTAAAAACTTATCCTCGTATTGTTGTTACATTTTTTTATTCATGAGAATCTTATTATTATTATTATTAATTTGAATACCACCCAACATGATGTTATTCAAATTCCCAGGAATCTCAAAATTATGAGAATCTTTATTATTATTATTATATTATTATATTTATTATTATTATTATTATATTTATTAATATTAATATTAATATTTTATTGTTATTTTTATTAATACTAATAATAATAATAATATTATTATTATTATTATTATTATTATTATTATGGATCTTCTTCCATGAGAACAAAAAAACACAGTAATGTAATATTCTTGAAAATTTGAAAAAGATTCCGGTATGGAACCAAACACAGTAATGAATTATTCTTAAAAATCATATTACCCTTTATCACTTTTCTGAAAATATAATTTTTACTGATTTTTGCGTACCAAAAGCCCCTTAACATCCCAATGAGGCTCTTCTTCGGTCTTCCTCTCCACTAGGAGCTGATCCAAAGAATATATATGCCTTTCATACCCCTTCTTTTTTATTAAGGAATAAAAAAAGAAAAAAATATTAATCTTATTAATATTAAATTATCTCCGATACAAATGTTGATAATCGTGTCAAGTTGGCGTCAAAAAAAATATATATGTGAAAGCAACATATCTATTATGTTTTTTGACTTTTGCTTCAATGCAAAAATAATGTTTCGAATGCTAAATGTATTTTTAGTACAATAATTACGATTTGAAAATTAAAAAAATAAATTTTTAATTTTAAAATAATTTAAAATGCCAATATTACAATGATTAAAGAAAACAATAAACATATTAATCACTAACAGTGAAATACTAAATCTGATGTATTGATAAAACAAAAGGATAGACACATCAATCAATAAAAAAATGTTAAAATTTGAAATATACTATATTTAAGGGTAAATTTACATCAAAAATAGTATTTTTATTTAATATCAAGAATAATATTACAATAAATCACTTCAATATTAAACTTTGCCATTCACATATATTTATTTTTCAACATCAAGTTATAAAACGTAATCAACCAGAAAACGTATTCAACAAGAAAAAGAGAAAAATAAAAGGGAGAAAGAAAAATAAAATAAAATTCTCCATTCCGCATAGCCTGCCGCGTTGGACCCAAAAGCAAAAGGTAGCAAGCGCAAAGGCAATAATACCCTCACTCGAATGAACAGAAATTTCTAGAAGCGAGGATTTTGAAGTAATTTAGCAAATGAGAAATCACAGGTATCGGAACCACGCGCTCAAGTCCCTTTTTTATGAGTCTTTTGGCCCTGGAAGACTCGAGTAAAAGACAAAATCACGAATTTGGGAATTAGGGTTTGCGATCAAGAAGAAAGAAGGAGAAGATGATCGAGGTGGTGTTGAACGATCGGCTGGGGAAGAAGGTGAGGGTGAAGTGCAACGACGACGACACCATTGGAGACCTGAAGAAGCTCGTGGCGGCTCAGACAGGCACGAGAGCCGACAAGATTCGGATTCAGAAGTGGTACAACATCTACAAGGACCACATCACTCTCAAGGACTACGAAATCCATGACGGGATGGGCCTCGAGCTCTACTACAACTGATTTCGCCCTCCTGCCGTACGTATGTACGTCGTCGTAGTCTTCGTTTTTCTGGTTTTCGAATTTGTTTGTTTTCGAACCTTCGTTAATGACTGTTTTTAGTAGTTAATCTTAAAATTTTCAATTATGTATACTTTTTAGTTGATCGATTTACTAGCTTTTGATTATGTATTATTGGCTGAGATGTTCTCTCTTTCTTTATGTATTGTCGTTGTTGTTTTCTTTTGGGTTTAATGTTTCAATTTCATCATTATTGGTAGCTTGATTCTATGATGAGAAATATCGGAGGAAAGGCATTATTTGCCCATGATGGGTCCTATATATGATTTTTAGGCATAACAAATTTATCCTGTTTTAAAAAGAATTATATTGAAGGCGTTTAGATTGATCTGGTCCTGCTAAATAACACGGGATTTGTTTTGTTTTGAGTAATTTATTGTTGGAAAACTAGGAGAAATACATGTCTAATTCTGATAAATAAAATTTTGTTGGACTTTGCTCCATGTAAGTCTTGGCACGGTAGGGTTGCTATTTATTGAATGCTTGTTTTATAGCTAGTCCTTGCAGAGAAATATGGTTATCAAAGTTTTCCTAAAGCATCAACTAGCTCATCTTGGAATATTTGTACTTCTTGTCCTTTGCCTTTTATATTTTAAAGAATGCTCATCAACTTGTGAGTTTGTGGAATTAGTAACCTTATAAAAGTTACCTGAGAAATGTTTTAAGAATTTGGAAGAAACATAATTATTAAGTACGGAGACGTTTAATACTGAGGAATTTCGGTAAGGATGAGGAAAGAGCAGATAATGAGTTTACATGTCTTTGTTACTGCTTATTGTTTAGACTTGTTTGAGTTTTATGCACTTTTGCATTTATAAGGTCCTTTCTCTAATTAACTCCATTCTTATATGTGGAACATTCACGCACAAGAAAGAACAGGAGATATCAGATCTTGTTTGCGGGTTTCTCTTGTATGTGTTTTTGTTTAATTTATATATATATATATATATATATGCATGAATGTGTCCAATTATTCTATTTTTCCTATGACAATTACAGCCCAGCCCTTTTGTGTATTTGTTCTAAATAGGTACAAAGTGCTTCTTACCTTAGTCAGAACTTTTCGTTGATGTATATTATTTGCTCTTTTCACAGGTTCTATACACTAGCGAAAGCTTGGGAGATGGATGCCATTTCTAAATCTCAACTTGTCCGAATGAACTTGCTGTTATGATGTTGGTTTACCTAAAAATGTCCTATACTTTTCTTATGCTGGTTGGCACTTCATTACTTGTCTAGATGTGCCAATCCAACTTGCCTGCGAGTCTTTAAGTGTCTGACTTACATAAATTTAAATTTCAACTCTTTGCCGTGTGTCTTGTTATTCAATATGTGATTGTGGCGTTTTATGGTTTTTGCACTTTGACTCTGAAATCCATTTTATAGCCATACATCTAAAGAATATTCGCATGTTTAACCTTTGACGTTAGATCATTAAAATGCTTTAAGTTTATATTGAAGACTGGAGACGCTGTTGCCATGTTAATCAGGGATTTGATATTATTTCATTAATAATTAACAAAATTTAGGGTTGTTATTAGGCGTGTGTATTTGTATGTGTGTATAGCTTTGTGCGTGTTTGTAGGGTGTGTGTTCATGTGTATTCTATATGCATGCATAACATCTATGTTTACATATAATGCGTCAAATGTAAATTACCAATATATTACTAAAAACAAAAAGAGAATCATTATATATTATTCTTAATATTTGGAACTTAATTGAAAGACGCGTGGGAGCAGATAGAGCCCCTTTTTTTTTTTTTTTTTTTAAAAAGAAAGAAAAAATAATAGTAGGAACGTGTTGCTGGAGCATGTACCAGTTATCTGGCTTCCAGACTTAAAATATTTGAAGTTTGGACTTTGTTGTCTTCTAATAAATAAGATTAAGATTAGGAAAAAGAAGTCAGATATCTTTTAAAAGTGTATGAGTCAGAGTTTTTATCTCTCTTTTAATTGATAATCTTTTTAGCTAAGTAATTATACTAACAAAACGGCATTAGTTAAGAAAGAGTGATAAAAATTTAGAGTCATGTATTTTTAAAGATAAATTTTGCAATTTTCTAAGAGTAAGTCTCAAGGGGGAGACTAATCTCAAAAATGATCATTGAAGTTTATATTTAATCTTATTTTAGTCATTGATTTTTAAAACATCCAGTATTAATCTTGAGGTTTTTTTTATTTTTTATTTTTTTTTTATTTTAGTTTTGGTTAATCTGTTAGGTGTTAAATATTTGACATAAATTATGAAAACAAAAGTTAAATCTCTATAGATAATTTATAAATTTTAGTTGTTTTCAATTTTGATTCTAATTTACATAGATTTTTTAAAATATTTAGCTAACAAAAGGACTAAAATGAAGTAAAGTAAAATCTTATAGATTAATTGTGAGAGGTTTTAAAAGTTAGAGATTAAAGTGAGATTGAGTGTAAACTTAAAAGATTATTTGTGAGATTAATTAAAAAAAATTAAGCGTGTTTCTTTTTAATTGGTATTTCCTATTATTAGATAGATGCCAAAAACAAAAATATTGAACCAAATCAAAGACCGGCTAGTTTACGGCTTTAACTATCAAATGCCTGGTCTGTAGCATAAATTGGGTAGATATTTAACCGTTTATTTTATAGGTTCGAATTGAAAATATTATGGTAAACAGAGGTTTGAATTGTGGTTGAATTTACGAAATCTCTTTTAATATCTCTAGCCGGAGGATTACACACGCAAATGACAAATTTTAATGATTATGCATTTGATTACTGATGCTTGGAACTGTTGGAGGGGATTATAGTCCACATCCCACTTTTATTCTCTTGATTGACATCAACTGCTAATGTGTCTGCAATATGTTTTACATCTTTTCTGTATTCTTTGTCCGTTCTTTTGCCCCATTATCTCTTTATCTTTCCCAATCGGATCTTATCAACAACCGGCCATCTTTTCTTAATTACCTTTTTTTTTTTTTTTTTTTTTTGCCTGGAAATTTCCCTAATCTCTTTGCAGTAACTGGATTCTTTTCTACACGAACCCAAAAAAAAAAAAAAAAAAAAAAGAAAAGGTGCTTTTTCCACAATTTTATTTGAGTTGTACCATTGTAATTTAAATATCTTCATTTTTACCCATGGTAGGCAGTGATGTTATGCACCGACCAACCAAATGCTTAATTGTAAAACAAAAGAGATTTGTTTGGATTGGCATTATTCTCGTCGTTATTCACCTTGGAAAACTCCTTTCATTGTAGTCACTTTTCCATTACCTTTGATTCAAAGCTGCCTTTTGTCACATAATAAAAGCAGAAGAGAAATCTAAAAGCATAAACAAAACGAAATCGCTAGACAGAAAACGTTTTTTTCAAGTCTTATTTAATAACTGAAATTTGGGCGATAAATAAGTCCGAAATAAATTAGATATATTTTTATAATGTAAGAGAAAATTATAGAACTTACTCTTAAATAATGCACGAGTTAAATTTTTACCCTTCATTATTGGTTAATACCTTCTTGCGAGTACAGTTATTTGATTAAAAAGATTATTAATCAAGAATAGGGATAAAAATCATGATCCATATACATACACCTTAAAGAGTATTTGTTTCTTTTCCCTATATTGTAATTGTTCTTTCTTTTTCATCATCTTCTCCCATCTTCTATCCTTTTGGTCGATATCATAAATTGAAGGGCTCATCAGACCATCTATATCTAACATGTAATTCTACATTAGAGCTATTTTGTGCTCCAATATATAATGTTATTTATAGTGTTACTGTGATATATCTATTATTTGTTGTCATAATAACTAAATTTGGGAACTTGTAAAAGCAATCTCTTAAATAACTTAAAATGAGAATATTGTAATGGTTAAGTGAAGAATAATACGTTAATTAATAGTGATCAAATGTCAAGATTTAACATATGTTATACATGGTGTTAAATTTGGTACTAGCTGCAGTTTATGTCAAATTTTGCACTAAAAATAACACAATATTATAAAGTGATTTCCTATTCAAATACTAAAATTTAGCATCAACACATTAATTTAGCACTATATTAAAGAGGCTACAATGGAGCATAAAGCATAATCCCAATTCTACTCAAAAGATTGACCCAGTCTCATTGTCATTCTATCAAAAGTCTAATATTACAATAGTGCATTGACCAAACAAGGATCTTGAATTGGAGTGATGAAATATCGACCCTTGAAACTCGAACTCATCATGGAGAAGAAAAAATAAAGACAATTGGGCACTTATTAGTATATTTAGACCACGTTTATTTCACCTATTCGAGTTTTGCTACAGTAAAAAGTTCTCAGAAACAGTCATATCTAATCTTTTTATTACAGTAAAAAATTCTCACATAAAATCACATCTCAACTCAAATTAATAAACTAAATGAGCCCTTATTATAGCCTTACCTGTAAAATCAACGTTACACACGTGGCAATGCGGGGGTTGTGAAAAGATGGATTGCCAAAAGGATGTCCTACAAACATTCATTGTCGCGCATGCATTCATCCTTTCCACTTGTCTAAGGATTCATTCTTATGCAACTTCTTCTCGTCTGTCTTCTAACATGTAATTTGCTCGCCTAATTTGGTCCACATTCTTTCATTTTCTCCCGAAAGATGTTTTTTTATCAGGATTAGATGCAAAAAATGCTTCTTTCAAGTTTTATTTGAAGATTTGCATAATATCTAGGTCCTAGTTCAACATTTAAGGGATGTTTAGTTGGAAGATTCAAACCATGATTTAAATCATGGTTCATGGTTCGTTACAGTATTTTCTCTTATAAAAAATACACGTAAATTAAAAATAGTTCTAATCACATAATTTTAATATATGAACCAAACGTCTCCTTAAATATTATGGGCAATCAAGACATTTTGATCTTGTTAATAGATATACTAAATTTCTCTTGTCTGTTTTTCACCAAAAAATAAAATAAAAATTCTATCAACTGTTTGTTTTCTTTTTTAAATGAAAATTTCTATCAACTGTTAATCAGTGAATTTATGTTGAATTATTTTAGTTCAGCTATACGTAATCATTTTCCACCTAAAAAGTCAACGAAACTAAAATTAGTGCGTATTTACATTCCGTTCTTAAAAGCTCAAATTGTTGTCTGCAATTTCTCCCAAAAAATTAAAATGGTGTTGTCTTGACTATTAATTATTATTTAGTTGATTGCGGATAGGCATGTCCTTTAGGTTTTAACCACCCAACTGTTGAATTTGATGAACAACTTTTCAAATAAATCCGGCACTTGTACTGCTCTTCATATCAAATTCGGATTGTTAAATTTATGACAACTTTAACATCAATAATTCTGGTATGATACGTTTTTAAAGTCAATATCAAATGTAGATTTTAAATTCATTTCATTTGCAAAATGTTATCGTTTTAAAACATTACATTTTTTAGTGTT